CTGTAGACTACATGCAGCCACAGTGGCACTGGCCGCCATCAGCAGCAAGCAGGTCATAAGAGAACTTGCCTCAGAGTGCAAGGGGGCGAGACTGCCGCTGAACTACAAGTGAAAAAGAATCACTGGTTGCAACTGCTGTTTAACATGCCAAAGAAACTTTGATTGAGCTTGGGTGCCAGGGACCCTTAAAATAAAGAGTAGAAAACATGCTTAGGTTTCTTTGTAGCTCCGGAACGACCAGCATGCAAGTGATGTGATGTTGATGTTGAGGATGATGATGTTGATGGCGGCAAATATGACGCTGGCGATGCTGATAAACACGCGGATTGTGACGGTGTCCGTGAAAGGGTGATGCTGACTGTGATACCAAAACCTACTTTTTGTGTAGGGTCCCTACAAAATCCATGTTAGGGTTTATATACGAACCCAGAAAAAAGTAGGTTTTTTCATGTTGATCAGGTGGATTCCTACAATACTTTGTGCAACTGCCGGGGTTCGGGCAACTAGCAGCGCGCCAATTGCCAGGGCCATACTCCTCGGAGCAGCCAGGAGTACCTGGGTTGGTAATATAGGGGCTTTAATAATTAGAATAGGGTTCAGTTTTAAAGGGGGTCTACAAGGGCTACATATTATAAGGGTTTAGTATACGGGGCCTTAAGAATTAGAATAGGGTTTTGGTGCCCATGATACTATATATATATATATATATATATATATATATATATATGATAAGGACCCCCCCCCACCCCCCACCCCCCCAAAAAAATAGTGTTGGTAATTGTCTAGGCCCCCAAGAGTACTGCGGTGCAATTGTCGCTGCTTCGGTGGGTCGTCTGCCTTTGTCTCGGTTTGCGCATGCATGTTGGTTTTTATTCGGGATCATGTGTAGCAAGTAGTTTTAAACAGCTTCGTGGCGGGAATAGCGGGCGCTTACGCTGAGTTTTTGCATTTCGACCGCTTGTTAGAGTGCACCGCAACTGTTCGATTTACGAAACCTGCTTTGAATCTAGAGTGATGGAGCAATGGGTTGCACTTCTTCCTGTGAGAGCAAGAGGGGGGAGTCTGCCAGCTGTGGGTTCCAGTCCTGTCGCGCTGTACCCCGGTCTGAAAAGTCATCGAATGATTCCTCGTCGCTTCTGAGGATTGTGCATTGCGTGATGGGATTATCGGTACGACTCCTGAGCCAGATGAGGTCCAGTCAAAGCAATTGTCCAGGAACTCCCCTGTGAACCCCAAGCTCCGGGCTAAAAAAACCAGCAGAGTTGGAACATGTCAACATCAGACTCAGAATCTTAAAGCCGTGAGCCCAGCAATTTTAGGTTGTAGGGTTTAGGGCTTAACGAAGCATGAATCAAGAAGAGTGATGATCTTCTGCTGGGAGGCCAAAAGGGGGTTTAAGATTCTTGGGGTAGGGATGGCTTAAGCTAATATGATCCGTATTATGAGAACCCTAATCCCAACTACACCCCCATAGGCTAAACCCCCTTTGGCCTCCTATGATCTTCATGCAGGGCGCTGCGGGGAAACACGCCGCGGCGCCAACGATCACCGGTGCCAGTCGAGGCCGCGACAGAGGTAGGACTGGCAAGTGTGTCGATTCCACAGAGTGTCTGCCCGAACTCTGAACCCTATAATATCGTATGATATAAATTTTTGGTCAAATTTTTAGTATAGTGTAATATGACATAATATGAGGGCTCTGAAACTCCAAAGCCCTGAGAAGGTACCGAAACCTCTGACTCGGGGCCTACATTCTAATCACGCAACAAAAGCCGCGAGGTATGACGCCAGTGGACCCCAACTCCATCGCTCCGGTATGACAGGGACTGAGTGGCTTTGGGTTTCGGGTTCAGGGTCCGGAGATTCACGTCTCCGCGATTTCTAGGCTGCGGGGCTGTCGGCTTGAGGTGTGTAGAGGTTCGGATCTAATTACCAAACCACAACTCAGCCCGAGAACGCCTCACGCTGTGATGCGCAACCTCAAACAGCATTCTCTGCCCGAATTCTTGTAGGGCGCTCATAATTAGAATAGGTTTTTGGGGCCAGGCACTGCCTTCTACAATATAGGGGCGCGCTATACCAAAATCATATTAAGGAACCCCGCCAAACTAGTATGGGTAATTTCGGCCCCTACATTTGTCATCCTCTGGCTTGTTCCGGCCCCAAACGCTCTACAATCCTGTGTACGCCCCAAACCCTCAGCCCTTCCACCCAAAACCGTCAAAAACGGAGTGACCCCTGTTCGCCAACCCTCCACTTGGAGCCTCTCCAGTCTTCCATGAGAAGATCTAGGATGTCCTTGGATGAAGGCTCAGAGCCTAGGCCTAGGTCCTAGGGTTTTGTTAACAAGTACTCTGGTTTAGGGAGATTTAAGATTTCTGTCGGGTCTTGGCTTTGGGGTCGGGTCGAGTGTTCGGCGTGGAGATATCATGAAGTTGTCCTATTTCCCTTTGCCAGACCTGCGGAAACTCTCCTCGGATTGGAAGCCGAAATGCAGCCAGAGCGGAGATCTGGCAAACCATCAGTCCTTTCCAAGGGGTCACGGCAAGCACATATGTGTAGCAAGCTACTGACACAGCATGACGAAGAAGCATGGTGCCTTACTCAGTGCTCAAGACTCCACTATCACTTCCTCACAAGGCCTATTTCACTGTGCAAGCTTCCTCTATGTCATTTTTTGCGATATTGCGATGACCAAAGGATGGCTGTCCTGTCGAGTACAGAAGGATCGTCAGCAGCACTGCCACATGGCCCTGGACAGGACGCGGACAACTCTTTGACATTCGGACTGTCTTGTCGATGCCCGGGCATCCCACATAGCCCTCGTGTGCAGCATTTAGAATTTGCAGAATCGTCTGCATACCAACAGCATTGCACTGAAATCCCTCGGCTGCTCACCGGCTCCCGCAAAGAAGTGTTGAGGTACCGAACCAAGAGAATCATCAACGTCCCTGCAGTCCCAAAGCAGGAGGCCCCCTGCCGGAGCAGAACTGATGCGTAAAGCACACAGAGACATGCACACCTCTACATGATCTTCCCTAATTATAACCTATCTACACCCCAAAACCTAAACCCCCATCCCACACCCCTTGCTCCCCTAAACCCTTACCACATGCTACACCTCAACCCGTAAATCCCTAAATCCTGAACCACACCCTTAACTATCCCTTAACTTCTAAACCCTTAACCCCGATTCCACGAACCTGACCTTTGCCCTTCAGAGGCCTCAGGGCCATAGACACGACGGCCCAATTCGGGGTATGACGCCCGGCCTGGGAAGAAGAAAGCAAATTGATAACAGTTATGGGTTCCGGGCTTAGAGTTTACGGTACTTACTTACTATCTGTCGATCATACTCGTACGACTAGCCCATAAAATCTCTGCGTCTTGGTTGCATTGTGAGCGTTGCTCGTGTTTGCCTACATACCCCTATTGGCTCCTATCCGTTCAGGTGATAGTAGCTCATAGTATGCATATGAGCTTTAGTGCTAAGGTGAATGGTGTCATCAGACAGTGTTGCAGCTGGTTCTGAACTGCTTCCGTTGAATACATCAGACTCGTGATCCTTCTGTTTGAGTTTGTAAATGGTAACCCTTAAGCATTAACCCTAAACCACACCCGCAAACTCTAAACCCCTAAACCCCTCAGCCGTAACCCACAAAACTTGACTCCGAGCCCAAGCAAATCCCATCAGCGCTTCAGGGCTTTGCGGTTTTGGGTGTCGATGCGAAAGCTGAGGACGTGTAGGGAACTTACGAAGCAAAGATCCTCGGTGTACCAGGACCCCCCAAAACCCTTTCATGGAGCCCTTGTGGACCTAAGTAGTTCGGGGGTCTAAGTAGTGCCCAAAGTAATTAAAATGTAGGGTTTAGGGGATTAGGGCTTGGGGTTTCAAGCTTCGGGTTAAGGATTTGGGTTCTGCTGTGAAATTCATCCTGAGTTTCACCTGCTGCAGGGGTGCTGGGAGTCAAGGCATTCCGACCTGGTAACAGCTCAGGAGGCCACAAACCACGCTGCCGTCGAAGGCAGACAAGTCCAGCAGCATCTGGTACCAGGAAGGAACACAAGTCGGTGCTGGGTTTGAGGCTGCGCCCTCCCCAACCAACCTCCCCAACCAAATGCAACGGCCATTTTCTGAAGCGCCCACTCCTGAAAGCTAAGGCCAACCCTCGTCCCCAACAGGCGCCTTCCAGGTGCTGCGGCAGGCCCACATCTGGCAAGTATAAAATGCAGACAAGCACATCTAAGCCCTCGGCCGTACAACCCTGCACCAAACCGTGAACCTCGAACTATCATGGTCATGTACATCGGGCTTTTGTGCCCCAAACGACAGTGGCATGAAGACACGCACGCGGGTGCCGCTGTGCAACACGTTGCGTTTGACTCGAGCGTGGTCTTGCACAAAACGGGCGACAGCCACCGGCTTAGGAGAGTTCGGGCAGCCCTTGTGCGGAAAGGATTGAGACGAGAAGCCGTAAACTTGCTCGGGCTGATGACTTCTCGGATGCCCGTCAGTGAAGGGCTCGGCCGAGCGCGAGGTTTGTGGAGCGGAGCTTAGTCTTCGTAGCCATAGCGAAGAACCCATTCGTCATAACGTCCGAACTCGATACTTCGCACCGTGCCGCCTTTCTCCTCCACCTCCTGCAGTCGTTCTAACAGGCTGTCGGGTGCATTCTTCAACTTCCAAACCGGATGTCCATCATCTTCCCAGTGGATGAACCACGCCGCATCATCATAATCTTGATAACGGCTCGTGCCGGAGATACTGAGTTTGGCGACAGACCTGTGTCTGTTCGAGTCCAGCATGTTGCGAAGACTTCTTGGCAAACTCTGATACTCCCAACTACCACTGGGCCATCCCACAAACCAGGATCCTTCCTCGCCGAATGCAACAACTGACGGAGGTTTCGAAGTGGCTAGGAGCTCCTCGAAGCTTTCTGGACCAGAAAATTTCGCCGATTCATCGCAGAACTGCACGTAGTAGTCGTCCGAATCCGGACTCAGTGCGACCATAGTGGCGTGTGCCTGATGATAGCCCCGCCCCGACCATTGAGCTTGTTTTCCAGTGATTTCGGGACGTTGCTCCAAGCATGGACCTTGGCACGGTCCCAAATCGCGATGTAGCCTCCATTCCCGAGAGCCACCTGCAGAGCTTTCCTGTCAAAGTTGTCATACAGATGATCCTTTTCCGGACACCTTGCACGGATTTTCGGCCCCCTCCTCTCCTCCTCCCGACGTTTCTTGTTGAGACGCTCTTCCTCTTGCCGCTCTCGTTCCCGCCTTTCTTCCTCAAGCTTTTGTACTCGCGCTTCCTCTTTCAAGCGAGCTTCTTCTCTGTCCGCCCTCTTTGAAATCTCCCGGGTCTGTGCGTCGATTACCTTCTTTCTCGCCCGAAGCTTTTCAAGCTTTTCTATTTCTTGCGATAGCCAGTCTGATGCCTTCTTTAGAACCAATTTCTGGGCTGCATCGTCCTCCTGCACGGCTTGGCTCAGAGACGTCTTCGATCTCGGCCTTCTGCATCTGGTGCTGAAGGTGTCGAGTCTCCAGTAGCGGGTAACCTCCAATCGCATCGTTTCCGGCAAGGCTGATACGAAATCGTCCAAAGACTGACGGCCAGAGTAGTCCCGGAAATACTCTGTGGTGTCAAAAACTTTGTTAGACAGACGTTCTGGCCGGATGTAGCCTTTGATCATCACGACCTTGTGCTTGGTAGCAAAATTATAGGCCTTGCTAGAGCGCGGGATGTCATGACAGTTGCAAGCATGGGGATCTGAGACATCAACGACTTGGCCATGGAAGCCTTCCAAGTCGATCTCCACGATTTGCTGCTTCGACGTTTTGGAGTAAGCCTTGGCATAGAACAGGGCCACCTCTGGTGAGATGGTCGCGTGCAAGAACTGACTCGCCATTTTGCCTTCTTCCAAAGCTTGCGAGATGGTGCCTCCAGAGCTTGCGGCAATAAATACACAAGAAAACAAGAGGAACCATGGAACCCACAAGCCACACGACACTTTCGACAGTACGCCTTACCATAACATCACAAACCCTGCGACAAAGCTGTGTTAGGTGCAGTTGAGTACGGTTGGCAGCCGGATCCCGTGCCCTCAGCCCTGCCATGACGTCCTGCCCCCACAGAAGTGCAAAGGAAGTTTCAGGGTTGAGGGCAGACTTAATGGGATTGGGGCTCCCGGCACCCCTCCTCATCTGACCGCAACGCTCGGTAGACGTACCGCTGCACGTCGTCCATGAATCCCAACTTGCGCAGAGAATATCAGCCGATGCTTCCACTCGGTGCACAGGGACCTTGAACTTGAGCAGATCTGAGACAGGCGGTAGCGGGTGCTTGCACTCACGGTACGTCTCAAGGTTCAGTCAATGAAGTTTTGGTGTAGCAGTGTATCGGGGCTCTCTCTAGATCTGCCATTCCGCATAGCTGACAAGTCTCTCATGAACTGTGCAATGAAGCTATACCTTAAGCCGGAATAACCTACCTGTTTAAGGACTTATATAAGGAAATCATAATAAGGAACCCTAAAAAGGTAGGTTATTCCGGCTTAAGGTACTCCCCTTAACAGACTGCACCTGGAGCAGGCAAGCCGGTCACACATCATCCTCAAGCCTCACAGGACACCACGGAACCATCGGCCACAACATATTCCACAGGGATGGAGGTTAATTAAACATTAGGCGCAAAACAGCTTTCAAGGCTAGCTGTGTAGGGTTATGCAACCGTCCAAAGCAGCTATGATGAACATAAGTGGTAGTCTGCATGCCCCGACCCACGTCGCTGTAACCGTGTCAGTGCGGCCACGACGCAAAGAACCTTTCACGGATGGCTTGCCGTGCGTTTCAATGGGAGGCCCTGACTTCTTTGCTTCGTCGGATTAGAGAGCATTCAAGATTTGGAAAGGAGACGTTTCATGCTGAATGTCCGAACCTGGAACTATCCCTCTGTGTGCAAAAGCATCGACTGCTCAATGGTTTGAATGCCGACTTTTACGGTCTGAAGCTTTGGAAGTGTTGGCAACATGGATACCTACAGTAAACCCCATAAAGTTGGAGACCGGATTAAGGCCAAATAGTGCTGGGATTCCCTATACATTACTCTTAGGGATCGAAGCTATGGGGTTTCCAACTTTCGGGCTTCTACTGCTACTGTATGCTCAAGACCCATGAGGCCTCTGAAGGTATCTTTTCGGCGGAATCTAATTGTACCCTCCTCTTGCCCCTATTGCACTCCTCCTCGGGTGCATTCCTGGCCAAATGCTCCGCGAAAGTGTTCTTTGACCTCGTAGTACTAGCAGGAAGGGATTAGCATGATTAGCAACTCTGCGAGAAACCCTTGTTACAACTCTGATAGCAGCCCTGAAGGAAACCCTTATGTCAGGCCCCCTCTAGATGCCTTTAACGGACTCTATTATAAAACGGGACTCTAAGTTAGATTTGCGAGCCACCCCTAAACCCCTTCTAGCAATCTTACAGACTCCCAAAAGAAAGAAACCCTTATAGATCCTTTTTGGGGACTCTAACTTAGGGAACTACCCCCGAAACCGCTAAAACTTCTCAGGCCGCGGCTAGAACGAAGGGGACGAAGCCACTTTGCGCCATGGCCCAGGGCAGCGCCTCGGATTTGGGTCCAACGCTTACCTCCGGTTAGTAGGGAGTGGCGGAATGGGGTAGAATCATAACTACTACTGTTGATGATATAAATCCTACATTACCCATAATGAGGAATATACCGTAATTTCCATGGTCTATGGTCCTTAAGGTAGTGCAGGTTTTTGTATCATCAACCGTATTACTTCCATTCTTCCATTCCCCACTAGCCAAAGGTAAGCCAATGTTGAGGATTTGGGCTTTTTAGGGGTTTAGGGCTTGCAAGAGGCTTAGAGGGTGTAGGCTTTCGGGGTTTAGGGCTTATAAGAGGTTAAGGGGTTTAGGGGTTTCGGGTTTAAGGGTTTAGGGGCTTACTGTAGGGGTTCAGATGCTGCATCATCCACTGGCCGCGCAGCGGTAGAAGAAACATGTCATGCAGCCTAGCATGTGACACAACCTTTTGGAATACGAAGCATGCCACCGACCATGCCATGCACTCTAAAATTGCAGTTAGCGGTTTCTTCTACACCGTTGCAATGCAACAAAGCACATACTGTTGGCCATGCCATCTGCCAAGGCCACTACCTCACATAAACCAGCCATGTCATCAAATTGCACGGGGGCTTCTAATTATCATGTTATTGTGTAATAGTATATGTTACTGCATATCTTAGGTCAGAAATGACGATTAGCACTAACCGTCACTAACCTGCGCGGTTCGAGTATGCACATAAGCTGTCAGAGCATGTCATCAGTCGCCATCTACTCGTATCTACAAACTCCCATGACCATCTGAGCCTAAACCCGAAACCATAAACCCTGAACCCTAAACCCTGTACCCTAGACCCACAATGCCAAGGTGCCAGTGTGCTGACACCCAGGAGATTCGCACAAACGTTGACCAAGGCCTCCATCACAGGTCTGTATACAGACATATATATGTTCATACATATATGCATGTATAATGCACATATATGCATTAAACTATTATTTATGTGTACACTTGTGTGTACCTAAATACAGAGTTACGACGCACTGAGAGGACCCAACCCAGCCATCCGTCCCTCCATTCATCCAGCTACTCATTTATTTGCACAACAAACCTTGCAAGAGTCACAGGAAGTTCACAAGAGTGTGCTTTGGGTTCGAAGAGGTTCGGATTTCAGATGGCGCAGACACCTTGCAACCCAACACCAAGGTGCTTGAATAACTGAGCAGGGTGTGGGGATATGTTATACTGTAAATGACAATACAGGCATAACATTACGAATTGTTAAGGCTTCTTGATTGTTGCCGTGGCCAACAAACAACGTACAACTGGAGGGAGTCCGGGAGGATCAAAGGCAGGTCCAACATGACGCACGAGGGGAGGCGACACCTTTCAGTCAACATCCCGCGCAACCTTGGGCCCCAACTGGAAACCAAAAACACAAAGTGAGATCAAGAAGATAAATACTCCGCAACGCCTTGACCTGTCAAACCAAACACCAGGAGTGTTTGAGTGAGGAAATAGGGCAACTCAGAAAGACTAAGACTGAAGGACTGCAAACCTCCTCTCTGGTGGCTCCGTGACAGGACGCGGTGCTGGAGAAACAGGGACAGCAAGCATCAACCTTAAAGTGAAACAGGCAGATTACGTACGAATATCAGCGCTTTCTGACATGTTACTCGCTTCATTTCGGAAACTCCACCCGCCCCAATGCCGCAAACCCTCGAGCGCAGGCAAACTCAAAGTCAAGCTCTGAACTCAACACTTTCACGTTCACACCCTAAACTGAAGGCAGAAATCCTGAACCCTGAACCCCAAACCCTAAAACCTTCAACCCAAAACCCTGAACACTGCGAAGTGTCTGGTCTGGACCTGCCACGGTCTGGCACCCCGACTTCCAGTGAGCAGCGGGTACTGGCCACGGATGAGCTTAGGGCCTTCTACGCCTTGAAGGCTGCTAGGTTCAGGCGTGAGTGTCTGTAGGTGTATTGCAGATATTGCAGTTATTGCTCAGGGTTTGCAGAGTTTGGGCCTTTGGAGATCGGGGATTCTTGCCTGTTAGCGGGTTAAGTTTAGAAGTTTGACGTGGTTGCACCTGTAGCATGATTTAAAGGCTTGAAAAGCCTTCAGCTCGCATAGTTTGACGGTTGGCCTGGAGGGCTCAAAGGCTGCGAGATGCAACTTGGTTTCGAGGTGTAATTAAACGCCAGGATATTGACGAAAGCGATTGTTGCTGCACAGCCATGGTGACGAGCATTTTAAATCCTCTGGTGGCTATCAGTATCGCCATCCTAAACCCCTAAGGCCCTAAACCCCTAGAACCCAAGAACCCTAAACCCTTTTTGTTCGCAGCAGGTCTTGGCCTGCAGCGTGGCATAGCGTCCTTCGAAGCACGATCACAGCGAGTGCTACGGTTGATGAGATAAATCCTGCATTACCCGTAATAAGGAAGATACCATAATCCCCATAGTTTAGGGTCCTTAAGGTCATGCAGGATTTTGTCCATCAACAGTAGCTACCGGGAGTTCTGGGTAGAGGTGCTTGGTGGGATCGATTCTCGGGATTGAAGTGTAAGCGTACCAGAGGGGCCTTAATAGTTAGAGTAGGGTTCCCATAAGGGGTTCCCTTTAAAGGAGTCTATAAGGGTTACTTTGTAAGGGTTACTATAAGGGTTCATGGTGTTGATCCAGGGGCTATTTGACACCAGAGCTCCCTTGCGGGCGTTCGGGTACCTCGGACGGAACCCTTGCACGACATAGACGACCGGGATTGACAGAAAATCCGAACCCTGAACTCTACACCCCTGAACCGCTACTGTAAGCCCAACACCCCAAAACCTAAAGTCACACTTGCGGACCTATCGGTGTTTGAGATATCCGGTGTTGCGGACGTGAGCTGAAGGCCAAATAAATGCACTTCAACCCGTTGACTTTCTGACAAAGCATTTGACGAATTTTCCAAATCCCCTAAACCCTAAAAACTTTAAACCCTATAAACCCTAAACCCCTAAACCCGAACCCCCAAACCCTCAAAACCCAACAGAAACGACCTTGATGGACTTTGCTGGCAGTCCTATGCTCTTGGGAGCTGCTTCTTTTGAAGGGATCAATAAGGGTCCCTTTAAAGGGATGTATACGGGTTCCTTTGAAGGGATGTATTAGGGGCTCCTTTAAGGGGATCTATAGCTTCCATGATGGTAACCCCTGTGGAAAGAAGGATCACAGCATAGCATGGCACGAGTAGCCTCTGGGGCCGCTTGAAGATCCGCCTGCAACATCTAAGCCCCAACAACCCTTAAAGCCCTAAACCCTATATAAGCCCCTAGACCCTAAACCCCAACCCTGAACCCTACAAGCCCCAACCTTTGCAAGCTTGAAGTCCTGCAGAGTCCTCGTCGGGGCCCTGGCGGAGATGCAGAAACAGCTGGGAGTTTCGGAATAATTAGGGGGCCCTAATATAGTACCCCCAAAAGTGGAGGACCCCAAAACCAAGGTACCCACAATTGTCGGAAAACGTCATGTAGAGGCACAGGGGTTGATTTTGAAAGCTCCAGACCTCAAGTGGAGTCGGGAAGCACTAGGGCTCAGACTTTCACCCTAAACTCTGAACCCGAAACCTTCTGGCCCGCCTCCGCCAGCTCTTCTTCGAGCTCCATCCCGGCG